ATGGAAAGCAAACATACTACAGTACACCTGGCAAACACATTACTTTCACCAAAATCACCTACACCAGGAAGGAGGCAACTGTGCGAGAGAAACTTTTTTTGCACAATAATGCTTTTCCCATGTTATAAGCACAAAGTGAAAAAAACGCAACAACCCCCGATTTTCAACCCGGTTCATATATAAAGCCATGAATCAATTTTGCTAAAGTTACGTATTTCCCTTCTCAAAAAAAACCAGGCCGACAGAACTGACAGGTTAAAAAAAGTTTGGGAAAGTGTTGTATCTGAAACAGAAATTTAGTACGCAAAATTTTTTTTTTCCCTTTAGGAAGCTTGTAATTGACGTCTTTGATTCGTTCAAAGGAAAACTCCTTTCCAAATACAACCAAGCAAGAGAAACGCTTGGTATAAAGTTGTTTTGCTTTTTTAGTTACAGTGGTCTGGTATTTGGGTTTATTTTTTACACGGAATTATACATTTCAAAATAAACCCAAATTTTTTGGCATCTCAGGGTTTTTGGGTTTGAACAATGTAAAACCCAACCCCGGTAAGGGGGAATATTTTAATTTCAGAAACTGGGACACAAACCCCCATCAGTGATTTTTGCGAGTGAACATGACATTTTGTGCACAGTGCTGCAAATCGAAAACATATGCCCATTTTTTTACGCTGGCACTCGTAAGGTAGGCAGGCGTTTGCTCCAAGACATCATGGCATTTCGGTGGCATACAAACGAATTTCACACTTTGTCACAATAACCCTAAGAAATGGCAAACAGTGGCAGCACAAAGAAAGAAATGAACCATTTTTAAAAACCCCCAGCTGTGATTGATTACACCTTCAACATCGTTCAGTGACAAATGACATGCAGATTTGGGGTTTTCGATTGTGTCCAAGATTAAAGTGGACATCAAAATTTTTTTTTCCATCTTCAGGACATTTCCATCTCATGCTTTTTAATTGAAAAAAGACACCAGAAACAAACCCCAGTAAAGGGGAATTTGTTTTTCTGTCATCAACAAAAAATTTTAAACCAAGGAACAGCCCTGCAATTGACCACCCACCAAATTTTCAAAACTACCTGCCGTCTGAACAGGTGACACTTTCCGGGAAAACTGCCTGCTACCTTTTTGAAGAAAAAGGGCCCAAAAAGGTGTTTCGCGTCACATACAAGAAAACGCACACAACAACGCAGAGACACTCGTTTTATGTGTGAGGAGTGTAAAACACCACTGTGCATGACACCATGTTTCAAAGAGTTCCACAGGCTGCAGAACTTCTAGAAACATTCCCTGTGACTGTATATGTGTATATAAAATATAGAAAAATAGTAATAAACAACATTTCATATCGTTTGTTTGTGTAAATATTTTCTGTAAACAAAATAATGACAACAGTGTTTATGCCCTTATTGTGTAGTATTGAAAAAGAAATAACTTACAAAATACTGATCATGTTGGCCTCAGAGGCCATAAAAGTTACTCAGAAAAAGAAAAATTGAAAAATAATTGAAAATAGTACATAAAAAAGTAAATAGAAAAATACCGGGTGACGGCAGTCGGCGATGTTACCATATGTTGTTCAATTTTGGCAAATTTCACACCTCCATATCTCGGTAAGTATTGATGTTAAAATTTTTTTGTTTAGCCTATAATGTTTAGAAAAAATACTCTATTTTTTCATAAGAAAAAATAATTTTTTTTTTTTTGAAATTTGGCCGACCCTGAGAACGAGTTTCGGAGAGGGCCTGTCGACCCTCAAAGGGTTAAAAGACAGAGAAGGGAAGTAACTCCAGAGAGGGCTTTACCTGAAGTCCTCATGGAGGGGGATTCTCCTTCCAAACACTAACCCCAACTCCCTCTCTCCTCCTCCCTATCTTCCAGATGCCATCAACAATCTTCAACAAAGCTAAGTAAAAATGTTATTTTATATTTATATACATAATTGAACACTATAGTATTTGTTGTGTGTATGTAAAACTGTAATTAATCTCAATAAAATGTATTTTTTTGTGAATATTTTTGGGTTTCTGGAACGGATTAATTGTATTTTCATTATTTCTTATGGGAAATATTGCTTCAATTTTCAGACTTTTCGGATTTAGAACTAGCTCCTGGAACGGATTAAGTTTGATATTTGAGGTTCCACTGTATCTGAAATTCTTGGAACTAAAAAGTTATCCAAAAACAAAGCAATCAAACTAACAAAATCAGATGAACCCCTACTCACTCCAACTGAAACAGCAAACAGACTTAATGTTTTCTTCTCCACCATAGGAAAAAATCTAGCAAACAAAATACCAAGCACAAACGCCATCAGGCTACCTCATAGTAGCCTACCCAAATACGCTATTCCTAGCTCCAACCAACCCCACTGAAGTTATGCTCATCATAAACACCCTTAAAAACAAGGCAGGAGACATAAACAACTTGCCTGCTTTTATGTACAAAAAAGCTTCTCAAGTACTGTCACCAATTATTGCAACGCTCTTTAACAAATCCATTGAATCATCTACCTTCCCAACAATCCTCAAAATAGCGAGGGTCACTCCGATCCACAAAGGAGGTGACCAAGCTGACTTGAATAACTATAGACCAATATCTAACTTACCACTGCTCTCTAAAATCTTTGAAAAATTCATTCATAGACGGATCTATTCCTACCTCGTTTCACACAACATATTAAACCCTTGTCAGTTTGGATTCAGAAATAATAAAAGCACAAATGACGCTATCATACACATGCTAGAACTAATATATACCGCACTTGAAAAGAAAGAAGTCCCGCTGGGAATTTTCATTGATTTACGTAAAGCTTTCGATACAGTCAACCATGAACTACTGTACTCCAAATTAATGCACTATGGTATCAGAGGCCACTCCCTCAACTACCTAGTCATACCTTAGTAACAGAACTCAATACATGTAAGTGTATGCAAATGATGCAAACTCCTCCACCCAACCAATCACGGTAGGAGTCCCACAAGGAAGCGTCCTTGGACCACTCCTCTTTCTCATCTACATCAATGATCTACCGAATGCATCACAGCTACTCAAACCCTTATTATTTGCAGATGACACTACATATGTATTTTCCCACCCAAATGCAGTCATACTAGCAAACACAGTCAATGCTGAATTACAGAAAATATCTGCCTGGATGATGACTAACAAACTTACCCTGAAGACTGATAAAACCTATTTCATTCAGTTTGGAAACAAAGCTGCAAATGATCCAATTAACATTACACTAAATGGATCATCAGTCACAAGACTCACAGAGGGAAAATTCCTAGGTATCCACCTTGACAGTAGCCTTAAGTTCCAGACACACATACAACAAATCACCAAGAAAATCTCCAAGACTGTAGGCATACTATCAAAGATAAGGTACTACGTTCCACAATCAGCTCTCCTGGCACTGTACCATTCACTCATATACCCTAATCTTACATATGGAATTTGTGCATGGGGATCAACAACATCCAACCACCTAAAACCCCTAATAACCCAGCAAAAGGCAGCAGTAAGAATGATAACAAATTCCCACTCCCGCCAGCATACTCCACCAACTTTCAAAAGTCTGAATCTGCTCACCATTAAGAACATTCATACTTATTCATGTTCCTACTACATACACAGAACAATACACGCAAATATAAACCCTCCGCTCAAACTTCTCCTCACCAACCTAAACAAGACACATGACCACAACACAAGACACAGATCTCTTTTTGATATACCTCGTGTGCATATCACACTGTGTAAAAACTCTATGCACATAAAGGTCCCCAAAATATGGAATTCATTACCAGAAGATATTACCCTAGACTAAATGCTAAATGCTCAGTACACATTTACTCACCTATGTACTCCCACATCATAACTTCAACAATCACTTTGAACCTTTTATCCATTACTGACAGGAATATAATTGAATCATTGTTTTCCACTAAAGCATTTTAGAATATAAATACGTATATCTTTGTATTATACAAATTTTGATTCATTTATAATTAATATTCTACTGTACAACTATGAAATAATTACTTTCCTACTGTACAACTATGATATACTACTCCTTAGTATTAAGTAGACTGTAAGTCAATAATGTTAAGTTGGTCCATAATGCCTAGGCATAATAGAGGCTCTCTTTACATTGCAACCCACTATTGTATATACACAATCTCAATGTACTGTTTGCAAAGACATTAAATAAATAAATAAATAAGGTCAGACTGAATCATCATCATAAGTTTGTCTTCTATGTGTGAGTTATTTGTGTATTGTTCCAGTCACAGTATTGTGCCTTTTTATTCTTTAAAAAATATCTTGTTTCCAAATGACCACAGCTTTCTCAGCTTCACATACCAAGTTTATCCAAGTGTTTCCTCTACCTCCTCCACCACCACACACAAACAAAAGGATCCCAATATACAAATGTCACAAATTAGATGCATCCACACTAATGAAAAGGGCACTTAAGAACTAATTGAAGGTTGATAACTGTCAAGCTGCAGCCCAAACATATGTGAAACATAACCATCTTTTGTACTATTATTTTCAACTCTAAACAAGTTTGTAGGTTGAAAAATCTGAAACACAAAACTCTTTTGTAAACTGGGAAATTTCTTCATGTACTGTATACATATGTATAAGATATAGTACCACATTATTCTTTAACATATTAATGAATTATTTAAACATACAATACTGTAAATACTGTACCAAACAATTAAATAAACAGTAAAAATCAATCTACAAATATATTTAAATACAGTGGACCCCCGGTTAACGATATTATTTCATTCCAGAAGTATGTTCAGGTGCCAGTACTGACCGAATTTGTTCCCATAAGGAATATTGTGAATTGGATTAGTCCATTTCAGACCCCCAAACATACACATTCAAACGCACTTACATAAATACACTTACATAATTGGTCGCACTGGGAGCTGATCGTAAACCGGGGGTCCACTGTATATTTCAATTTGTCACTTACATTGGGCTCTCCATGTGCTGCCAGCACACCTGTAGACTGGCCACCTGGCTGACCAGCAATGCTCGCAAGATACCCTCGGGTTGCCAAACCACTGATGGGTTGGAAAGTATTTGACTTCAACACGCGTAGCCCTATAAATTTGGTAAAGATGAAAAGACCACTGTGCAGCAACTTTTCTGAATTTATTGACATACTAACTGTTACCAAGCAAAAGAAAAAACAGAATTTGTCTGGCTTAATCATTTAACTCTGCATGGGAAATTCTCAGCACCATGTCACTATTAGATCATATAAACAAAACTGTGAGAAAGTCATACATGCTACTCTTAACAAATTATAAAATACCGTTTAAATATATAAATAGAGAAATGTTAAAAAATACTAATGCTAAAAAACAGATGTCTGAAATATATATTAGGCTAAAATTGGAATATGCAGTGGTGGTATGTATAGTGCCCAAAACCTAAAAAAAAAAAATGTTGATAAGTAAGAAAAAATTCAGACAAGAGCCACAAAATAGCTACCAGAATTAAAAAATATGAATTATGATAAAAGGCTGAAAATATTAAAGATGTCCATGAGGCTGAAAGCAGAAAGAGAGAAGACATGATAGTCACGAATAAGGTTATAGAAGGACAAGAGGATATTTTTTTGAGTACAGTGAACAAAGAATCACTAATTAATAATCTTGAGGTTAATGATGAGCTTGGGGAAAGTGATCACAAATCACTTAGTTTCAATATATCATGGAATTACCCAGATAACTGCAATCAAATCTCTGTCCCAGCCTTTCGCTTGGCCGATTTCATGGGACTGAAAAATTACCTGGGTGGGCTAATTGGGATGACCTGACTATGGGTCAGGTAGGTGATCTTGGTTGCCAATATGACATTTTTCAGAGCATAGTTCTAGCTGCCCAAACAACTTTTGTTCCGAGTAGGGAAATTAGATCTAACAAAAATGATCCCAAATGGATGAACAATAGATTAAAACATCTCATTGGTCAAAAGAGAGGCATATATAGGCATATCAAAAGAGAGGATGGGCAGTTAAGAAATCAATATATTCAGTTAGAGAGAGAAATTAAAAAAGGAATAAGAAAAGCAAAAGGGGATTATTATGAGGCAAAAGTCGCAAGGAATTCGAAGACTAACCCAAAAGGGTTCTTTCGGGTATACAGAAGTAAGATTAGGGACAAGATAGGCCCACTTAAGAGTAACTCTGGTCAGATCACTGACAGTGATAAGGATATGTGTGAAATTTTCAATACCTACTTCCTTTCAGTTTTTACTCAGGAAAATACTAACGAAATTCCTGAAATAATAGATTATGTAGAACAGGACGATAATATACTATGCATGATTGTGGTAACTAGTGACATGGTCCTCAGACAAATAGAGAAATTAAAACCTAACAAATACCCAGGCCCTGACGAAATGTTTGCAAAGGTGTTAAAGGAATGTAAAGAGGAGCTTAGCATACCTGGCATTGTGCCTGATAAGTGGAAAATGGCAAATGTAATACCTATTTACAAGGCAGGTGACAGGTCCTTAGCTTCGAACTATAGACCAATAAGTCTTACCTCCATAGTGGGAAAATTTATGGAATCAATAATTGCCGAAGCAATTCGTAGCCATCTCGAAAGGCATAAATTGATTGATGAATCTCAGCACGATTTTACATAGGGGCGTTCCTGTCTTACGAATTTACTAACTTTCTTCACTGAAAGCAAAAGACTTGGCAGGCGATGCAACTTACCCCCAGTGAAAAGTAGGGGCGTCACTGGTACACTAAGAGAAAATTCAATAAGTGTCCGGGGCCCAAAACTGTTCAACAGCCTCCCACCAACAATAAGGTGTTTGAGGAGGTAGATCATGGTAATGAATATGATATTGTGTATATGGACTTCAGTTAGGCTTTTGATAGAGCTCCACACCAGAGGCTGTTGAGGAAACTTAAGGCACAAGGAATAGGAGGAGAAATTTTTTCCTGGGTAGAGGCATGGCTGGCAAATAGGCAGCAAAGAGTTTGCATAAATGGGGAGAAATCAGAATGGGGGCACGTCACAAGCGGTGTTCTGCAGGGGTCAGTGTTGGGCCCGTTGTTGTTCACAATTTACATAAACGACATAGATGAGGGAATAAATAGCGACATAAGCAAATTTGCGGTTGACACCATAATAGGCCGTCCAATTCATTCTAATGAGGACACCAGAGCACTCCAGGATGATTTGAATAGACTGATGCAATGGTCAGAGAATTGGCAGATGCAGTTTAATATAGACAAATGCAAAGTTCTAAATGTTGTACAGGAAAATAACCTTGCCACATATAAACTAAATACAGATCTTAACCCTTACGGGGTTGGTGCTGTACTAGTACGGCTTGCAAGCCAGGGTTGGTGCCGTACTAGTACACATAAATTCTAGCGCTTTCAAATATAGCGAGAGAAAGCTGGTGGGCCTACATATGAAAGAATGGGTCTATGTGGTCAGTGTGCACTGTATAATAAAAATCCTGCAGCACACAGTGCATAATGAGGAAAAACCTACGACTGTGTTTTTGGTTTAAAACAGCGACTTTGCAGTGTATTTTCATATGCTATTTATGGTTGTATTCCAGTTTTCCTGGTCTTATTTTATAGAATGGAAGACATATTACGGAAATTGAGATGATTTTGATTGGTTTCACAATGAAAAGTACCTTGAAATTGAGCTCAAATTAACAGAAATGTTCGATTTTTGCCAAAGTTCAAAATTATATAAATCAAGCCATGCGTTCAATACACGTAAAGTGGTGAGTCTAATATTCATTCACAAGTGTGCTAATATTATTTATACCACTTCTACACTAATGCAGTAGTCTGCATAATAGTAAATCTTCTATTTTTTGCGAGAATAAAAATTCAAAGTGGCAAGCAAAAGAAATGTAACAGAGGCCTGGGGACGTGACTAATGAACAGAGGAAATGTTATTTTAGTGCTAGGAATGTCTGTCTTGTTTATTCTGGACCCTATTTGGAAATTGGCATCTTTTGAAATTTGTGTGAATTGGCAAAATTGCCAATTTCGGACCACTTTATTGGATAGTTGAAATCCGTAAATGGGTGGTTTCTTGTATGTATACTCATTTGATAGAAAAAAATGGAGTTCTAGCAAAATAGTTATGACTTTTGCTGACTGGTACATTGGAATTGGCCGAAAATAGGGTTCAAAGTGGGCGAAATCGCTGATGCGTAAACATCGTCGAGACCTCTAACTTCGCAAGAGCATAATTCCATAAGTTTTCCATCAAATTTCATACTTTTGGTGACATTATGATCGAGAAAAGATTCTCAATCATCTCATAAGAAAAAATAATTTTTTTTTTCAAAAAATTTCCAACCCTGAGAACAAATTTAGGAGAGGGCCTGCCGACCCTGAAAGGGTTAATACTACTGAGTGCGAAAAGGCTTTAGTTCTGGTTAGCAGTAATCTAGAACCAAGACAACAGTGCATAAGTGTTAGCAATAAAGTGAACAGAATCCCTGGCTTCATATCTAGAAGTACAGTATAAATAATAGAAGTCCTCAGGTTGTTCTTCAACTCTATACATGTATATCCTTGGTTAGACATCATTTAGATTATGCTGCACAGTTCTGGCCACCGTATTACAGAATGAATATAAATGCACTGGAAAACATACAAAGGAGGATGACAAAGTTGATCCCATGTATCCGAAATCTTCCCTATGAGGACAGACTGAGGGCCCTGAATCTGCACTCTCTCAAAAGGCGTAGAATTAGGGAAGATATGATCGAGGTGTATAAATGGAAAACAGGAATAAATAGAGGGGATGTAAATAGCGTGCTGAAAATTTCCAACCAAGACAGGACTCGCAGCAATGGTTTCAAGTTGGAAAAATTTAGATTCAGGAAGGATATAGGAAAGCACTGGTTTGGTAGTAGAATTGTGGATGAGTGGAACAAACTCCCAAGTACAGTTATAGAGGCTAAAATGTTGTGTAGTTTTAAAATTAGGTTAGATAAATACACGAGTGGGTGTGGGTGGGTGAGAGTTGGACCTGACTAGCTTGTGCTACTAGGTCTGATGCCGTGCTCTTTCCTTAAGTGGAAGTGACTTGAGTATGAGGGTCATTGGGCTAATCCAGGGGGAGGACATGGACCTGCTTCGCATGGGTCATTTGGCCTGCTGCAGTGTTCCTTCTTTCTTATGTTCTTATAACAAAAGACAGAATTGTAAATTAAGAAAAAATGTGGTGCTGAAGGGATACTAGGAAATTTCTCTTCACCAATAGGTAGATCAATGGAATTAATTACAAAAGGATGTAGTATGTGCTATAACTTGGAATGGGAGGCCTCAAACACTTATTATACAACAACAAAGGTGTGGAACATGCTACCTGACCATGTCAAGGATAGTCTTAACATAAACCAGTTTAAGAAGAGCAATGGAGAGAATGAGAAAAGTGATTTCTTTTAACTATAATTATCTTTTGTCTGTAACTGTTATATTACACACTGATTTTTCTCTATTTAAAATTTGTGTAATATAGTCAAATGATTTTATTTTTTATTTTAACTTATTTCCATGTTTTTGATTTGGTATTTAGTCTCTTTTATTGTTATAATCATAACTAACTTTTACTGTATTTTACCCTTTCAGGGTTTCCGACGTACTACTATGGCTTATGCACCAGGGTTATTGACGTACTAGTACGCCTAAATTCTAGTGCCTTCAAATCTAGCGAGAGAAAGCTGGTAGGCCTACATATGAAAGAATGGGTCTATGTGGTCAGTGTGCCCATTATAAAAAAAAATCCTGCAGCACACAGTGCGTAATGAGAAATAAAAAAACTTTGTGTTTTTGTTTTAAAACAGCGACTTTGCATTGTAATTTTTTTATGGTATTTATGGTTGTAATCTAGTTTTCCTGGTCTCATTTTATAGAATGGAAGACATATTACAGAAATTGAGATGATTTTAATTGGTTTCACAATGAAAAGTACCTTGAAATTGAGCTCAAATTATCAGAAACATTCGATTTTTGCCAAAGTTCAAAACTAAACAAATCATGCCACACGTCCAATACACATCAACTGGAGTGTCTAATATTCTTTCACAAGTGTGCTGATATTAGTTATACCATTTCTACACTAATGCAGTAGTTTGCATAACAGTAAATCTTCTATTTTTTGTGAGAATAAAAAT